TCTGGTTCTGTTGCGTAAAAGTATGGGTTGGATACTGAAGGGACTAGGAGTTGTGGTGTTGTGGCGTTGTTTGTGGCGGTCTTTCTGTCTGTGTTTCTGTATGTAATGAGTGGGTAAGTATGAGTATCGTGGTGTAGCGCGTGGTGAGAGTAGTGCGTCCTAGTCGACCGACGCCGAGTCGCGTTTGGGATTTCAGCCCCCCAGTACGGCGATTCGCGAACGGGTTCGATCTTTGGGCGTTCGACCGCGCGTAACCCTCTATGCTACAGCGAACGAGAAACGCCCTCGGCTGGGCCTCGTCTGCAATTGCATACGAAAAGCTTTCGCATGTGGTTCAGTAGGTCGGCAGGGATACGCCCACCTAAGGGATGGTGACAGCTCCCGCAGGTGGAGGTAGCGGTGCCTCGCGTGACTCTGTTCTGTCGTAGGGGCTCGCGAGAGGTATGGCTGGCGCACTCGGCCGGAGCTGCAAACGCTCTCCACGACAAGTCCTGCATAATCCTGCGTGACGCGGCCGGGAGGGTCCCCGTGTGGGACCGATGCGCTCGACAGCGTGATTCAGAGTTTAACGAGGTTAAAAAGGGGAGTGGCAGCGTCAAGTTGACAGTTGCGATGCAAAAATTCGGAGGTTCATATCTTTTTTTTTTTTTAGGGTCTGTCGGGGTCCGAGCCAACATCAGTATGTCAAGGGGCATGCACCCTAACCTGTAGGAATAGGTGCATGCATACTTAAAGGGTCGGTGGTAAGCAGTTTGAATGGCATGGACAAGTGAAAACTTGTTGGACCGCTAACTGACATACATCAATGTGTATAATCATTCATTAAAAAAAAATAATTTTTATTCAACATGGAACATGAACTAGCCCAGTAAGATAACGTGTTACATTCTCACCTAGCAGATACTAGGATCGAACCCAACATGATAATACTTGGGCTAGCTCCTTTTATAACAGCCCACCAGGAACGACATAAGGCGCAGTGAATTTCAACCGCGAGATTGCTAGATCGTACGACCGAAACACACAAGGGTCTCTACTGCCACGCTCGTTACTCGACTCCATGCGCCCTTAGTAGCAAGAATTTTAAAATAGTCACTTCAAAAAATATTTGTGGCATTGACAGTCAAATCAGATGCTCGTCACGACAAACCATCTCTGTATGTGAGTACGCGCCACAATCAATTGTGCCGATCACGAAAAAATATATACAATCCTAATTAAATCAAAGTCAAAGTTGACTGGCAGTTACGTCGATTTTATAACATCAACAGGGAAACATCACGAGCGCTTCAAACTGCGCGTCCACACACTCTCTATTTTTGGTCAACCACTCAGTCAGCGTAAACGAAACTCAACCATAAGTCGCACAGGGTTCTCAAACCATAAATCAAACTTATTTTATGTCACTTATAAAAACCAGGACAGATATCCTTGTAAGGGTATTCGCACCGACAACTTACCGGATCTTATTAAGCGACGTCCCCGTTGCTCCGAAAAATCAAAAGTTATCAATCCATCCATAACTCAAAATGCTTACAATAAAAGATCTAATCCGATCGGCAAACTTGACTCCATTTGAAAATCTTATCAAATGGACCACGGTCACTAGTAGTCACTGTCAGAGTTTCAACATGGGTTTTCTGTGATGAGGCCTCAGACACCGGGATACTCAGTATGTACTATAGTGTCAAGCGTATTCCAAGTAGTCATTGATAATCCTCTCCCTTTGTCCTAGACATCAATTGGTTTATCGTTGGGTGTCCTATCTAGTTAGCGTCCTACATGCAAGGTCATAACTTAGGACGTGGTCCGTAAACAAAACCTTCTGCATGCACTTCCACCTTCCTCACAAAATATCCAAAAAAATATATAACTTTGATCACAGATCTCCATTGTAGTCTAATACAGGAGAGTCAGGTCTACATCTTGGTCTACCATAGTCTGGTTGATCGAGCCAGATTTACGACTCTTCACGTTGTTATATTAGAGGCAGTGTCGTCGTTGGTTTTGCAACGATAGACAATTTTTCTTGATAAAACATTCTATCAGGACTCTAAAAAGACACGACAGACTCGACTTCTAGTGTTTGGTTTAACTTCAACATCTTTCTTACATGCTATGTCTTCGGTTAAAAGATACATTCTTCAATTTTCGAATATGAGTCGGGGAACAATGACAACTCTCTATCATATAAGTTGTGAGGTGGAAGTTGTAGGTCTGTCTCAACAGAGGTGTGTTGTATGTTTCTTGGAGTGTGTTGAAGCAATGATGTATTTCTTAGAAGTTAATGTTTTTCATGGTCCTTCAGGATACCAAGTCGTTTCAAATTGTTGAATGTTGTTGTTGCTACTGTTGCAACCGGTGTTGCTGGTGCTGGTGTTGTCGATATTGTTATTGTTATTCGACTTATTGTGAATGTTCTTCTTGTTTATTTACGGTGGTGTTGACGGTGTTCCACCGCATGCATAGTAGACTAATTCAGAATGAAGTCTGTGAGAGAGAGGCGAGTGGGTGCTTGCAACAATTGCTCTCCTCTTCAATTGTTTGGATGTTGCAAACGACTGACCCTGTTGTTAAGAATGTAGTTTGTGAGAGAGAGGCGAGTGGGTGCTTGCAACAATTGCTCTCATTTGACAAGTTCGCTAAAGTGTTACGCTGTTATTACAAAGTTAAGTTGATTGTTAAGTTGATTGTGACTTTAATACTTTGCTTGGTAGACTAATTCAGATACTGGTACAATTGCTGGCACTGCTACCAAGCACGTGTATAGTACCATATATCCACTCTTTGCGCATTTCACGTTCAAAACTTCCCTGCTAGTATGTGTAGTAGAGTTTTTTGCCCAAAGTTACGATTTCGAAAAACCTACAACTAGTGATGCAAGTTCACAAAACAATTTTTTTCCCCCCATTTGTAAGGAGATACTCCTTAGTCCGACAGTTGTTTGTCCCACCTTCCTTTCGGGGTCACCATCCAAGAGTGATCTTAGAAAACGTTGTCTCCAAATCAATCGAAACTCCTCGATCCTATACACAAAACTCAAAATCTGCTCACCTCTTTTGAAAGGTAGATGTATTCATCACTTCATTAACCAAGGGTAAAAGTACCTCACAATCACAACATATGAGCTTAACCCTGTGTCTTCCCCAACTCTCTCAGAAACACACCCTGTGACCGAAAAAGTTGCACAAGATCTCTTTCAACACAACAAGAAGACATTATGTTGCATATCATCGATATGAGAGATACACCTTGTGACAGGCAACAACTGTATAAAATCTATTTCAGCAGAACAAGAAGCCGGTCTCTGACACAACAGGAGTTCCACAAAATTATTCATGGAAAGATGTGGTGAGTGAAGAGCTTTGAAACTTCCTTGCACCCCCTGACTGATTTTGCACAGTGTGTAGCAGGTACTAGAAGTAGAAGTCTTATTGAGCCTCACTCGGTGTGCTACTTCTTGGAAGAAAAATCATCACTTCAGCGTGCAATCATGAGTTTAGGGCAATTTTCTAGGTCAGGTACATACATGAAAACGCCTAGAATAGCAACATGTTGCTTCATCATTATCATCAACATCATTTTCTTTTCCAAACTTGGTCCTTTGCTAAGGACTACGATTCCCCCCATGTGGGGCCAATGATAGCGGTCGCAAGAGTGTGTCATGGAAAAATATGGTGAGTGAAGAGATTCAAAACATCCTTGCACCCCCTGATTGATTCTGCACAGTGTGTAACAGGTACTAGAAGTACATGCCTTATTGAGCCACACTCGGTGTGCTAGTTCTTGGAAGAAAAATCATCTCTTCAGCGTGCAATCATGAGTTTGGGGCAATTTTCCAGGTCAGGTACAAACTTGAAAATGCGGCTGGTTCGTAGAATAGCAGCATGTTGCCTCATCATTATCATCAACATCATTTTCTTTCCCAAAGTTGTTCTTTTGCTAAGGATTACGATTCCCTCCATGTGGGGCTCATGATAGCGGTTGCAAAAGTGTGTCAGCTGCTGCATCAACTCCTATGATTGCACAGTCGCTTAGACCGGCCACAGATCTTGGAGCAAGTGGGTAGGTTCAAACAACGGCTAAATCGCCAACCACATCACCATCACCAAGGTGCCCATAGTCGCCACTGCCCCAAGTGTGAAGCACACCATCAATCGATACAGCTGGTGAATGCCATGCACCTGCTGCAATGCTTCTTCTCACTGGATGATGTTGATTGGGAGGGACCAGGGTCGGCGGAAGTGCTGTCACCGGCTGCACCTGACGGACTGCCATGGTACATCAGGTTGGGTCTATAACGTTTGTCACGCCCGCAAAGTAGGCAACAAAAGGTGTGTGCACGTGTTGAAGCCACAAAAAAAAAAAAAAAAAAAAAAAGAGAGAGAGAGAGAGAGAGAGAGAGAGAGAGAGAGAGAGAGAGAGAGAACCATGATGTGCATGACATGGGGGGGGGCGCACAGGCCCAAAATGCCCAGCCACAGAGGCCCAAGTCCATGCAAAACGATGGAGGGCGCAGCAGAAAGATGACAACTTGGGAAAATTTGTGGTATACCCGGTAGCTCCCATCCCGGGGCAGGGGGGACGGCCGCGACTGAAACAACGGCCGTGGGGGCATACTGAAAATATGCATGGTTCAGGTAGGGGCATATGGAAAATTCATGTGTAGGCCCTGAACGGCGGACAGGTAGGGGCATGCTGGAAATTTGCGGGAGGTACCGGTAGGGGCATATTGAACATTTTCAGGCCCAAGTGGTGCCAGGGGTTTTCTGGAAACTTCAGTCGTTGTCAGAGGAGCAAATCAGGAAACATCGGCCGTCCGAGGGCAAATCGCAAATAAACGGAAAAATTAGGGGCATTTTCGAAAAGTTAAATAAAACGAAACAACAAAAAAAGGTCAGACAAGCCTGAGAGGTCCTTTCGTGGCGGTTCGAAAATCCTGGACTGGCCCGCATGCAGGGTACCAACGGGGCCCAATCGAGTAGTGGGCCCCTGGATGTAGAGCCTCCCCCAGCCCCCGAAACTTGCGGTAGCATGCAAGCCGCCTTTTCTTTTCATAGCTGGTGAGCGAATTGGTGGTCTATCCTCCTCGAGGTAGGCCGCCGGCCCGCGGAGAGTTGTTTGAGGAGATCGTGGAGAATTTTAATGTGCTCGTCGGACCATTTCTTTCTCCTTTGCTGGCGTTGTCTGGTCTTTCACGCGAAGTGTTCCGTTCTGCTGAATCTCAGGGGCTTGTTTTGCTCGCCAGAGACGTCAGCAGCCATGGTGAGTTGAGCGGATCGAATGGGGAAAGGGATGGGAATGCTTGTCGTCTGCCTTTCGAAAGGGGTTGCGCGATGGAACGGGCCTTTCTGGAGCGATTGGCGTGACGATCTAGAGGAAGTTCGGGTGGAGTGAGTTATGCTTTGCGTTCAGCTGCAGTGTTCTGAAAGAGGAGTATGGGGTTTCTGTACGCTGGCTATCTTCTTCAACACCGAATGTACTCTGCTGTCTTGGGGTTGTACGAACGCTTATTGCTGCTCAGCGTGTCTTTTCAGCGGTTGTGTCCTCTCCTACATGACGTGTTCCCTTGTGTGTTCTCATCTGCTGGCAGTTGGCTCTCAAGTAGGTGTCTAAACTTGCCATCGCTGTTTTCTGTCCTCTTACAGGTGAACGTTCCGAAGACGAAGAAGGCCTTCTGCAGTGGCAAGGACTGCAAGAAACATACCCTTCACAAGGTCACTCAATATAAAAAGGGGAAGGATAGCTTGTATGTGCAAGGTGAGGTGTTCTTCATTATCGTATCCGTCTTTCCGCCTTGTGTGCTGGGAGTGCTGGGATGTTGGAACCCGAGTATTTCATCATCATATGTCCTCTGCTTGAATCCTGCCACTGACGTTAGGCACGGTCGATTTGGAGCATGGCGATGGAGAAATTGCCGACTGCGAGTGTGTCCGGACTGAAACGGAACCCTGGAAGTAGGTTCTAATCTCGGACAGCGAGCTGATAGTGGGTGTTGGGTGCTGTGATGACAACGCAGGCAAGAGGCGTTATGACAGGAAGCAGTCGGGATATGGTGGCCAGACGAAACCAGTCTTCCACAAGAAGGTGCGTATGAACCGGTCGATCATTAAAGCCTTGCTGTTACTCTGATTATGGAAGGCGTTGTTTGTTGTCTGAGGGAGGTGCGATGGTTGTTGACTGTATTCATGTTTCATTGTCTGATTGGGTCTCGTTGTGTGCCGCGGCTTTTGACACTCGTGATCTGTGTGATTATTTCCAGGCGAAGACCACCAAGAAAATCGTCCTTCGACTTCAATGCCAGACATGCAAGCACGTAACGCAGCATCCTATCAAGGTATTTCTTCACGTAATTTGTTCGCCTTGCCGATCCTCTCAATAGGTGCACGGTAATGAGATGAACAAAGCGGTGTCATAGCAGGGTTTGCGCTTTTGTGTGCCGTTGTCACGCGCAGTCTGTATTTCAGCGTAGAGGATGGATCTTCGGGCGGGTTTTCAATATAGGGTTTTACGCCAGCGTGTGCTGCGTGGTGCTGACAGAAAGCCAGTGGATCACCTTCAAGGATTTCGGTAGTCATTTAATGGGCATCTGAAATGTTTTGGTTCTGGAAAGGGGTGTAAATTCATTCATTAATGGTGCTCCAGCTGGTGAAGTGATGTGGTCGGAGTGGTGTCTATGTGCTGGTATCGTCCGTCACTGAAGTGTACTTTTAGGCTGCCAGTTTCTCGACCGTCCGAGGAGATAGTGCTTAGACAGGCCGCGTTAGGGTTAACTTTTCTTACTGTTGATGATCTCGGCTTTTTTGGAACGCTGGAATTCAAATGTAGTGCGTACGGTACGCTCCCCCACGGTAGGGGACGTTTAGCATGTGCTGCTGCTTTGGGGCTCGGCGATGGGTTTATGTCGTGGATCTGTTTCAGTAGGGAAATGGTGCAAAGGACGGCAAATTTGAGGTGTGATCTGGCGGTGGCTGTGGTGGCGAAGTGTGCAGGAGCAAAAAAGACTCGGTTTTTGGTGAATGTGGTTGATCTGCTGCGGTTGCCTAGTGTTGCAAAACGGGCAAACTTGAAGTTCGATTTGGGGGCGGCTGTGGTGGTGAAGTGTGCAGGAGTGACAGCTGTGTGGCGCCCGAATCGGACGCGTGGGTCAGCGATCAGGCTGTTTCGGTTCTTATGATGGTCATGTGATCGTTTGCATTTTCGTCCCTCTTAGAATCGGATCCACCCCTTCTGAAGTGTGATGCTCGGAAATGGCGTTCTTACTCTGCGCGGCATTTGTTGATCTCAAATCCTATCCATCGCCGTGTCAAGCTTTGGGTCGTTTTGTGTACTCCGTGCGTCTCCTTGCTGGCTTATTTAGTCACTACGGTAGTAAATTTGCCCCGATCGCATGAGAAATGCTTTGATGCTTGCACTCCAGCGTGGAAGTTTCAGGATCTGCATCCTCGTTCCATAGTGCCTTTTAGGAAAAGCATAGTGCCGTGAGTGGGAGACTTCGAATTTGCATGTTTGGACTAAATAATTGTGATTTTTTTGGTAACGAAAGTCTCATTTGGTGGGATGTTGAGAGCCGGGCCTTTTTCGTCGGTATGAAATAGGAGGGACACTCGGTTGGATTTGGGAGTTCGGTTGGGACGAATGAATGGGTGATGTGTTTCGGGTCATTGGGACGCATTGCAGATGGATGTCTTGTTCGCGTTAAGGAACTGACGCGTTATTGAACTGGTCTGTGTGTTGATGTTTGTGCTTGCAGCGATGTAAGCACTTCGAAATCGGGGGCGACAAGAAGGGCAAGAGCACGTCTCTGTTTTAAATGAGTAGTTATCGTCCGACGTCGAAGATGGTCGCAAGCAGTGAGGGAGGATCCCATTTTGGAATTTTCTCGGTTGTGCTCTGGCATGTAGATGATGGCAAGATGTATGGTGGCACGCACGGCTGGCATGTCGTGACGGCGTTTTCAGGAGGGCCGATTCAGATGAGGATAGGTTGATAACGTGACTTTGTTTCGCCAATATTCGAGGATATTATTGTAAAATGTTGAAACATGGAAAGGGCTCGTGAAGAGCCGAGGTATTTTTGGCCCTGGTAACGAGGAGCACAAACAGATTGGAAACGACGTGCCGCATTGCTCATTGTTGTCTGGTTGTCAGGTTCATTTCGACCTCCCGCCGCCGACTCCCCCGCCTCTTTCAGCTTCTTCCGCCTTACATTCATCTTGTTTCTCCAACCTCAGTTTCTTCGTTCTCTTTGTCTGCTCTCGGCTCCCCATCGTCGTTATTGTTCATGTCTATTACAAATTTAAAGGCAAGCAGAGGGTATGGTGAAGGAGCGAGAAGTCGAAGACGCGAATGCGAAGACGAGGGAGAAGGGTGCGGAAGACGAGCGAGGAGGGGATGGAGTCGTTTCCTTTCTCCTCCCCATTGCTCGCTCTTCTGCTGATGAGGGGGCCGTGGAAGGGCAAGAAGTAGAGCAGAGGGTGTGAAAAAAGAAGATGACGAGAAGGCGAGGGAGTGTTCTGCTGCTGAGGGGGTGGTGTAGAGGGAGGGTGGTTTGGGCGGAAAAGGGTGAAAAGTAGGTATCGAAACACAAGGGCGGGAGAGGGGAAGGTAGTGGTTGGGGGACAGAGGGAAAAGAATACTATAAACCGCAACGATGATGTCGCGTGGTGATCTCTATGTCTAAAACTGAGTGGGAAAAGAGTACTATAAACCGTAACGATGATATTTAGTGGTAATGTATATCTGAAACTAACTCTTAAAGCTTATGATGCCGCGGGGATCACGCAGCGCGCCGATTAATTTGGTTTGCCGCAAGTTCCGGCCTGTGGATTTAGATATGGAGGGCCGGGAGTTCAATCAGCGAAAATGGGCATCAACCCCCCCCTCTTCTCGCGCGCGCGCGAGTTATATATATGGCATTACTTTGTCGATCTTCGGGAGCAAAAAGTTCACTGAGCCATTCCAAACCCTAATCCGGAAGGGAATAAAAACCTATTGAAACGATAGCCCGTAGGAAAGTCTAACAGAAAAGAGAGCCTGTATTCTTCACGAACGAAAGAGCACGTCAAAGGGAACGGAAGCCCCAGAAATGAAAGAGCTTGTGTACTTCCTCACCAGTTTTATTTTCACGCACGAGCGCCCCAGGTCGACAGCTCGCTTTCCTTCTGAATTCATCCTCGGCACCACACGGCCAGTCGACGATTCTGAACCCTAACCCCGAAAGAGATGAAAACGTAATGTAATTAGACCCCGAAAAAAAAGGACGAAAAACGAAAGGAAAAAGCCGAAAAACGGAGAATTAAATCTAGGTTAAAGTCGTCACAAAACAAAATGAGAATGAATTTTCCGCTAGAACATAGCAAGAAGATAATTCGCCACAGTTTTGATCCCGAAGATTGACATCAAGTATTGCCATCGACGGAACTCGGTAAGCGGAAGCGAACGTACGAACTGGCGCGGCGTACGTTTGTGAGGCTATCTACAAATTGTTAATCTGTCCTTTATCTTTTATTTTTGTTTTATATGAGGTATTTTTTCATTGGGTATTCATGCCTTTTCGGGTTAGCGTTTGGAATGGTCGAGTGAACTTTCGCTCCCGAAGATTGACGATGGAGAATGGCCATCGATTGAACACGCGCGCGCGCGCGCGAGATAGAGAGGGGGGCTGGGTGGTGATGCTCTTATTTTCTGATCTTTCCTAGGGATTTTACTGTGGTTTTTGTACTTATCTTGGAAAGGCGTTTGTGTTTGTATGCCTGTTTGAATTCGACTACTATCTGAAGTCGCTTCACATCTTTGTTGTTTTCTGGCGACCATCGATTTTATTTCAGGTTTCCATTTTCCCTTTTTCTCTCGTTTCTCATTTCCCTCTTCCGTCTCTTACGCCTTCATGCGTTTTCGGGTTAGGATGTGGAATGGATGAGAGAACCGTTTGCTGCTGAAGATTAACGGAAAGGAAATCCAGCTATCGACTGGCGCGCGCACGCGCGAGAGGGGGGGGGGGAGAGAGAGAGAGAGAGAGAGAAGGGCAGGGCAGTACTTGCGTGTCTTCGTGAAGATTGCGTTCGCATTCTCTCTCTATGACTTGGTTTCATTTTTTTCGTTTGATTGCGTTCTCGTTTTTTCGGCTTAGCGTTTGGGATGGAGGAGTTATCGTTGTCATGCGATAGACAAACGTGAAGGGAAGTGATCGTGCGGGCGGGCTCAAGAGAGAGGGATAGTGGGGAGAGAGAGGTACATGATGAGACGAATTACGTGCTTAACAGGGAAGGGAAATGGAGAGCGACGGACCAGCTTCAAAGGCACGTTGGGGCCTGATACCAACTGGAGTGTTTGAGAGAGAAAGACATGTGAGGAGAGGGAGTAGGGGCTTTAGAGGGTGGAGGATATGGAGTGAGATAGGCAGAGCGACAAAGAAATGATGGCCCCGGAGCATAACTGGTGGAGGGAGAGAGGAAGGTAAACCATCTTCTCGATTTATGCTTGGCATCCTTACGCACCGCCGATGTCAGTCTCTAGATTGTTCCATTGTAAGCGATGACTTTGTATTTGTTTTCCCAGTCTGAGTGATTGAGATATACGAATCATGTTACTTCCAGAGATTGGCATACGTGGCCGTGTGTGTGTGTGTGTGTGAGAGAGAGAGAGAGAGAGAGAGACAGAGTTGGTCGTATTTGCGCTCTGGTTTCTTATGTGTTTTGCTTTTCGTTTTGTTTGTTGGTCATTATTTTTGGTTTGTATCTCTATTTCGATCTTTGACTTGTACTCTTCCGTGTCCTTTTCCCAAGCGTCAGAGAGAGAGAGTTGGTCGGTTTTGCGCCTTGTTTTCTTACGTGTTTTGCGTTTCTTTTTGTTTGTTGGTCATTGTTTGTGTTTTGTATCTCTATTTCGTTCTTCGACTTCCTCTTCCTTGTCTACTCCTTGACTTCCCAAGCGTGTGTGTGAGAGAGGAGAGAGAGAGACGCGAGGGGGGATGCAACCGGAGGGTAGTTTTTTCTCGACCCATGTGTGGCGCTTTTGTGCAGGCGCCATGCCAACTCTCTTTGGATCGCTCAAGTTTGAACTTCGTGTTCACTTTTCGTTTTGGAGCGGTTTATGTTCTTATTTTATTTTAGAACTATTTCCATTTGTTGTCGGGATTTCATTGCGCGAACGCAAATGTGTATGCGTTTGTGTGTGTGAATGAGAGAGAGAGAGGGTGGGGATGGGATACTCTCCTCGTATTATGTTCTTCGTTTTTCTTTTCTTTTTCGTGTACGATTCTATTCTTACGTATGGTCTTTATCTTGGAATTTCTTTGGAGGTGAAGATAGCTGCGAGATCTCGCTTCCCTGTGGACGCCCGAGACAAACAAACACGCGCACAGAATTCTCGGAATTTCTTTGGAGGTGAAGATAGCTGCGAGATCTCGCTTCCGTGGACGCCCGAGACAAACAAACACGCACACAGAAGTCTCGGAAGGGCCGGTAGGTGAAGACCCATGAATTCTCACGGGAAGAGTGCCGTTCTCAAAAAGGAACTTTCCGAAGAATGGGCAGTGGAGCAGAACCCTAAGAAAGTACACAGAATGTCCCGAACTCTGCTCCAATGAAGAATGGTCTGCTCCGGCATTCGGTTTCTTGTATGGATCTGAACGGCAATGCTCTTCCCATGACCCTCGAGAGACTTCTTTCTCGGTCAACTCCGTCCGGTACACATGCACACTGAAGTACGTATGCGGAAATGCACTCCGTCGTTTTCCGTCTGTTATGATTTCGTTTCCGTTGCTGAATCGAATCAGTGCAGATGGATATTTTCAAGTTCTTATACACGTGGAACCATTTCACATTGTATGCACGCTAACTGTTTGATGAAAGGGCCAGAAGGAAGAGAAAGAAGAGGGAAAGATTTCGGTGTGAGACCATCGAGAAGGTAAACTCGGTCGTGGTCTTACATCGGACTCACTGACTAAGAAAGCGTGGAGAAAGCTGACAATCCTACCAGTAGTGAGCAGAATCCCTGACGAGAGAGAACATGGCCCATCATGTTGATCTGCTCTCTTTTAGACAGGGGAAGTGAATTCGGGATAGGGCGGGCATGAGGTGTAGAGAACCGGGTAACGTAAAAGATACAGTGCTAGATCAGGTGGGTCGCTAGCTCCTCGTGCTTTCGGGTTAGGGAATGTTGACACACGGGGGATGCTGTGCTCTCGGGCCGTACTGCTGCTGCTCTGTTCTCGAAGCCCGGTCATAAACAAACATGATGGCAAGGATGATGAATGAACGAATATAACTTCAATGTGCGCTTCGGAGAAGGGGAAAGGGAGAAAAGATTACGAGGATGGTGATGATTGTGATCGCCATGACGATGATCATAGTAACAACAGCAAGTACCCGTCATGTGGATGATAAGTCCAGTGGCTGAAGAGTAGGCCAAGGGCAAGGAGTAGAGAAGATAGCGATGATGGAACGGCAGAAAAGGAGGAGACGATGAGGATGCTGATGATGATGATTATGATCGTCATGACCATGATCATAGTAACAACAGTGAACACTCGTCATGTGAATGGTGGTTACAGTGGCTGATGACCAGGCCGATGGGAAGGGAGTAGAGAAGGTAGTGATGATGGATCGGCAGAAAAGTAGACGATGATGATGATGATAATTATGATCGCCATGACGATGATCATAGTACTCTTCATGCGAATGGTGATTAAAGTGGCTGGAGATCAGGCCGAGGGGAAGGTAGTTGTAGAGAAGGTAGTTATGATGATTCAAAAGCAAGAGGAAGTGACATGGGGCAACAGCACTGAGGTCTCGCAGCTGCCATTGATTTCCTGAAAATGTCGGACCAACGAGCACATGCCTAAACAAATGCCAGCGCACGTACTCAAGCCGTGATGATGTCTTGTTATTAGCCTGTAAACATGGCTAGGTTCAATCGAGAGAACTCATCATGTGGTGTAATTACTAATTGCCCTGCGCAGGGAGCAATAACCCTTCTGTCGCTTTGTGGGGATAAAAAAATTGCGACCATGACGAGCACCTTATTGGGTTGTTTTGTTTCAGGATTCACATATTCTTCTATATTGTTTCCTGTGTACAAAAGAGGAAAAAAAACATAGCAAGCGCCCAGCTCAGTTGGCTAGGCACGGAAGGGGCATGTAGGAGGTCATGGGTTCATTCCCCACTGACGACCTGAGGCACTCCTGGTGCCAACCAACGGATATAGTTGGTTTGGTCCACCTGTTCGGTATTTGTAGGGTCTCTCGCCATCACGGATGTGCGTGTGGGGCGGGGTTGTGTTTAGTGTGTGGGAGAGCATTGGCCATTTAACTGCTGTCACTAAATTAAATGGGGCTGCGGGAAGTAGATGAGAGGCACAGCTACTGGCAAAATACTCCCCGACCACCGCTGATTAGGTCTTGGGGCAACATGCATCCCCTTAGTTGTGGGCGGTAGTATAGGATTAGTATGGCTATGTAAGGTAGTGAAAGGTGTATTTGAGAGAATATTGGCTATTAGACACCCCACTAATGTGGGGCTGGTGTGCAGCGACTGGGCATTGTGTTTGGCACCAGCACTATCGGTTTCTCCCATAAGAAACACCTGGCAACTTTACATCACCGTGATCAGGGGCTGGTACAGCCTTGCTCTCACACCAATGCTACGATGCAGGCCCACCCCCCTGGGCTGGTCCGACATCCAGGTTTTGTAACAAGAGGATGAGATGAGGGAAATATACATGGAGAGAATTGAGAGAAGAATATGGGAATGCTAACAAAAGAAAATAATCGGCAAGAACCGGGGAACGACACTAGAATCCCTCCCTGATGTGATAGAGTATCATTACCGGGTTTCCTCTAAACCTTTGTGTGAATGTGTGAGGGATGTGCTTATATATCGTTTATGTGTTAGACATGTTCTGCATTAGGCTGATGAGGTGGCTGTGTGAGGGATGTGCTTACTGTTTATGGGTAGACGTGTTCCGGATTGCCCTGATGAGGTGACAGGAATACAAACTA